TTTTTTTTTTTTTTTTTTTTTGGGGGAGGAGGGGGTTGGTGGTGGTGGATAGCTACTAAAATCTTTTGACATTCACAAATTAACTCCTCTTTTTTTTTTTTGGGTAAAGATATCTTGGTTTGGTCGATTACTCCATCGAACTTAGATATTGGCTACTGTAACCTAAACAGATTTAAAATTTATTCCCGGAAGAACAAAAATAACTAACCTTTAATGGGTATAAGAAGTGACCTGAGACTTCTAGATGACCTACATATAAAGAAAAAGATAATTTGCCACTAGGATGACCTACTGGTCCCAAAATCTTGTGACATTCACAAATTATATTCTTTTTTTGTTTTGTTACAGGATGTCCAAGTTTATATCGAGTACTTCCTCGAGCTTGGATATTGACCACCATAACTCAAGTGGGTTTAAAACATATTCCTTGAGGAACAAATATAGCTAACCCTTATGAGTATAAAAAGTGTAAAACCTGAGATTTTTGGATCACCAAATGACTGATTCAACCACTGAATCACTCCTAAATTTTACAAATTATCTCTTTATTTACATAGAATTTATATTGAACTTTGACAAACATCCAAGACAACTAAGTAATTTTAGGAAGAAAAATGAATTATCTAATAATTTTATGAATGCTGTCAACGCCCCTAACATGTAACTAGTTATGTGTAATTGGAATCTTGAGTGAGGTTCATAGGGTATACCGTATCAAAGACAACCCTCGCAAATACATGCCGAACTTCCCGCAGGCTTCCAAGAGCTAACAATTCATGATCAATCTTGCTACCTTGCTTTGATACAAATCCCTTCTCTTTACCCCCTCTTACACACTCAAAAATCTTGGACACCTTCAAATACGATCCTAGTGGAATAAATACCTGCAAATATGAAACAAAAACCGGATCAGGGTTTGCTCTTTACAATTGCACAATACTATGAATGTTGGCAGACCAAAATACAACACACACAATCACATGAAATAACGGTTGGGGCCTCTCTTGTTTTACATTTCCAGGGCCCCCGGGCGGTGGTCCTCCATGCTACGATTCCTCACGAAATTCCTGTGCACATCAAAATTCTTGTGCACCGAAACAGATACAATTTTCTTGGAAGCAAAGAATATGAAGAAACAAAAGCATGTCAAATATGAACGTTGATCAGAATTGGCAATTATTAGCAAACAGACAGATCATAGTGGTTGAATTTTTAGACCCTTTTTTTGTTGTGTTTTTTTGTGGGGGATGGAAGCAAAGAATATGAAGAAACAGGAGGATGCCAAATATGAATATTTATCAGAATTGGCGATTCTTTGCAAACAAACACAGCATAGTAGAACAATGGAGGGGGGCTAAGTGGTATTTGCATACACTAAACTACTACTTTGATTCCCTATATTGAAAATATCTCTACTATCCCTTCAACTACAAATACGACAATTAAAGTTCTCTGCAAAAAGCCAAAGCCAAAGCCCCTTATGGGCCTTATGAGATTTGAACCATGCCATATGGTGTTAGTCCACCCAAGTTAAAATGGGCTGATTTGATTCAATTATTGAAGAGCAACAATGTAGATAAAGTATGCCTGTTTAAATATTATATAAACATGAACCATATTTGCACAATGACAAGTGCTGACTGCGCTTACTTCTAGAGGGGGCTGTACAAAATTTTTAGTCTTCGGAGGCATCCACCTCAATGTGTCCAATAGTGTAGCCTATTATCTGTCTTTTAAGTATTTAAGCTGTTGCCAACTGGTCTATAGGTGGTATATCCTGTTCGCAGCATTTCTACTGTGGGCATATGCAATAACATTATCAATTGTCAAAATTTGGGAAAATGAAAAAGAAGCAAAGGGGAAATACAAAGACAGGGCAAAGAAAAATTAAGCACTAACCAGATCCGAGTATGGTGCTTTGGGGTATTTGGCCATTGCTTGTGAGACAGAATATTCATCAGTCATATTCGTCAATGCACTTTGAACTGATGTTGCTAGCCGCATAACCTCATGTTTTAACACCTTAGAGTCTAGATTCTGAGGTTCCAAGAGTTCATGAAAGGTAACATCATGCGGCTTGGATATCCTTCTTGCTATATTCAAGGCTTCCCGCAAATCTCCACCGTTGTGGACAGCGAGGCTAAATGCAGCAACCACCAAAGGATCTGTTGGTTGGTCTGAGAGAGCTTTATGGAATGCCAAGATAGCAACCCTGAAAACATATAGTAGTGATCAGAATAGCTTGATTAGAATTCTTTTTGGTACTTACCTCAAAAAAAAAAAACAATAATTCTTTTGGTAGCCCTCATTTCCAAGATTCCAATTTTTAGTTCTCGGATATGATTCAGTACTATGTGTGGTTTGACTCAAGAAATCTATACCCCATCATCGATAACTCTAAACAAACTCAATCTTTACAAGTATATAACAGCTGCACCAAGATCCAGCTTTTAAATATGCAATTTTAATTGAATAATGGCTCTCAAGTTTGGCATATTTCTGTTTAGGCAATTTCCATTCAAGTAGTGTTCATCTTGTTGTATGATTAGATGATAAGTAGAAGCATTAGGCATTTCAATATTAAAAGGAGAAATAACAAATAAATAAGCACAGGACCTCGTGGCCCATATCATGCTAATTACAGCATGGTAATATCACTCGATCCAAACAAGGCAGAGAATGCCTCATCAATGTCTACAACCAGCAGCTCTGCCAAAAGAGTTTAGTGTGAAAAAGAAAGTGACAGGTTGGCTTGAATCTAGTGTCTAAAAGCAAAATAATGCATTGCAACAAAGGGTGTCAACAAGAGCACATCTTATGAAAGATTTCAGCCACAACAGGAAAGTGACTTCAAGAAAAGCTACTGGATACTCTGGTTATCAAGTTGGTAATATAAAGGGACAATCGGGCAGGGTCAAGTTCAAGAGCAAGAGAATGAATATGAACTTGGTGAAACCAAATGGTCGAATTCCAATTAAAGAAAAATTTAGAATGGAACTAAATTGATAAATTTTTTGGAGTGTTTTCTTGAAAAAATAAAAAACCTATCTAATAATAGGTAAGAATTTACTATAGCCAAAGGTGAAGCCACTAATTTAATTGTTTGGCTCCTTTGAGCAATCAGATTTTATGCATTAATCATCTTAAGACCAATGTCTGTCCGTATATACTTTGTATGATGTAGATCGTAATAACTTTGGTACTTGAGGTAGATCAAGAATAAGAAAGGGGAGGAGGAAGAGGATAAATCAAAAGAATGAAGGCACCGAGAAATAGAAGATTAAGCAGAAACAATTTTAATATTTATATAATAAAGTGGCTAGCTTGGTTTGTCTTGAACTTTTCGCAACTCAGATTGATTTAGTATTATTGATCTGATGATTATAATTAATCTACATTCCTACAGGACTCTACTACATTCTTTTTATCTCTCCTTATCCCCATTTAAACCATTGGAGAGATATCTACATTCCTACAGAATTCTGCTACATTCTTTTTATCTCTCCTCATCCCCATTCAAAAGATTGGCTTAGACGTATATATATATATATATATAATAACAAAATATATCTATTAAAACTCTAATAAAAATGATTATCTCTAATAAAATATAGGTTCACATAAACATATGTTGTCCTATATATTTATCTATATATATCTATACCGATATCTATATCTACATATATAATTCAATCTATATAATAAGTCGTTTAAATGCGTAGTTTAAAATCTATATAATAAAATAGTTAAATTTATTTGTTTTGAGATTTTAGCGGCTCAGATCGTTTGAGGATTATTGATCCGACGATTCTAATTAGACTTTCATTACTTTTAAAACTCTAACACTCCCATCTCTAATATAACTCTCTTTCTCTCTCTATCTTATACAACCAACTCTCACACGTATATAACTTTCTCCCTCTCCCTCACAGACATTTTAAACATACACTCTCTCATCCCTTATACTCTCTCCCTCTCTATGTGTGTGTGTGATAGAATGAAAGTCAAATTAGGATCGTTAAGACAAACAATGTTATCTCACACTTTTTCTTTTAGTATTATTTATTTGTCTTGACAATCCTAATTGGACTTATTTGCTCAAAATATTTGTATAATTTTATAGATGAAAAAATATTTAAATATTAAAATAAATTTTCAGGTTGTAGATATTTAAAAGCCAAACTAATTACCAATAAAAAAAATTAAAAGTCAAGCTAATTACTAATAAAAAATAACAAGTGTTGCCAATTGAACCAAAAAAATAAAAAAAAAATTAAAAGTCAAGCTAATTACCAATAAAAAATAACAAGTGTTAAATTGCACCACGAAAATAATAAAATTCAAAATCAAGCTAATCACTAATTAAAAAATAACAAGCAATATCAATTGCACCAAAAAAAATTAAAAAATTATGCAAAAAAAAAAAANTTTTTACTTAAATTTGAGTTAATATTTGAATAAAAATTTTGATTTAATACAAAAATACTCTAATGGAAAATTTAAAGAATGATAAATTCAAAATTAAAAGAGGGTGGAACATAGCCATTGAATTTTTAAAAAAGAGTGAAATCTCGCAATTAAAAATTTAAGTAAAGATTTGATTCTCATTTTTTATGTAGTAGTAATACATCATGTGCATTGCACATGAATAGCTTTTATACACAAAAAGTAATAAAATAAATTAGGTATATGTGTATCTGAATTAAATATTATCTTAAATTTGCTAAATTTAATTTTTTATTGCTCATATTAGATTATAGGATTATGAAAACTTTGTATGTTCTCAAAATTCATTGTTCTAAATATAAAAAAAACATTGCCAAAAAATATATAAGAACAAAGATAAAAAAAAATAAATAAATAGTTAAAGTTNAAACATTGCCAAAAAATATATAACAAAGATAAAAAAAATAAATAAATAGTTAAAGTTCTTATTTGTTTTAAGAATTTTGTGATTGAGAGTGATTTTTTAGTGATGTTCGAGAAATTAAATTTTTTAAAATTTATTTGATTAAGATTCTACTTATAATTTATTGAATAAAATTAAAATATTCATCAATATGATAATCATATTGGAACCTTACAATTACTAAGAATTATTTAGGTCAATTGAAATAATATTTAATATACTATTCTATAATATATATTATAAAACATATCCAAAATCTTAAAAAATAAAGTTTTACTTAAAAATACACTACAATCTATTTTGCATAAAATCTTAATACAACATATATTGTTTATTATGACTGAACAATTATATAGATGTACCATAAATTAATTTTAAAATACTATATATATATAAAGTTATTTTTTATCTTATAAATGAAAGGGTTATTTTCGATGAAAAAGAAAACATACATATGTCGGCATAATGTTATCTTTTCATAAGTGATGAGAAATATCAGATTGATAGATTTTTTGAAAGTTTTTTGAACACTTCATTAAAAATATAATGATGAATATTTTTATAAGGATAATATCGTCAATCAAAAAGTTTCATAAAAACTAATAATTTTAAAATAGAGCTAATTTGGAGNCAAATCACCATGGAGAATGACTATTCCATGACAGGTTACCCAACACAAAAGCAATATCGAAATGGGCACTGTCATGCCAAAAACTCCTATAATAAAACAAAATCCATTTTTTAAAATTGGACTTCANTCAAATCACCATGGAGAATGACTATTCCATGACAGGTTACCCAACACAAAAGCAATAACGAAATGGGTACTGTCATGCCAAAAACTCTTATGATAAAACAAAATCCATTTTTTAAAATTGGACTTCGTTAGTTAACCTTTTGCTTTGGAGCATGAAGCAAATTTGTCAATACCAATGGCCTCCTTGTATCAATAGGTTACAATTGACAAAAAATAACAATAAGAATAAATTATTGCTCAAGAAGCTGTCATTTTCTTTGTAGGTCTAAAAAAAGCAAAATCAAAAATGAAGCAAGCAAAGAAAGTGGAATGAAAGCTTACCATCTAAATCTTTCTTGGCTGCAGCATTAGACTTTCTTAAGAGTACATTGGGAGATGGTGAGTTATTGTATTTGAGAAATTTTGTCGAACACATGGTGGTTGGTGGTTTGGGCAGTGACTGGGATGTTTGGGCGACAGAAAGGAATGATTTTAAACTGAACAAAAAAGCTACAACCCATCAAGTTCTACAACACACAATGAACACCACCATAGAGACATACATAATTAAACACATAGAGCCGCTTAAATTGTTTGGTTATATATTTACATGACAAACAGTAAATAAAATATAGAACCCACCATGAATACCACTGTAGAGACATACGAAATTAAACTCAAACATTTGACAAGTAAATTTGACAAAAAAAATATGTATGAAAGCAATAAAACTTAAACATAACCTAGTTGAGATTATCAGACAGAGGCAAGATNGAGCCGCTTAAATTGTTTGGTTATATATTTACATGACAAACAGTAAATAAAATATAGAACCCACCATGAATACCACTGTAGAGACATACGAAATTAAACTCAAACATTTGACAAGTAAATTTGACAAAAAAAATATGTATGAAAGCAATAAAACTTAAATATAACCTAGTTGAGATTATCAGACGGAGGCAAGATAGCATCAGATTCAACTGTCAACGGAACCTTGAATCAAGGATCAAAATAAAATTCATTGTGTGTTTTGTGTCCTTGCATGGTGGATAACAAAAATATCCCATTCAACAAAAACTCCGATCTCAAACAGAAAATGTAAGCATAATACATACACACACAGAAATGTGAATATCCAAAGCTTACTTGAAATAGAGGATCTTCTCTGTCTGCTTTTCTCTTATCCTTCTCTCTATATGGCTTTCATCTGCCCCTCTCTCTACTGTAGTCGTCCAAAGCGTTGGCTGGGTTACTAGTGGAGTGTGTTAGTGAATGATTGAGATTTGAGATTGGGATAAGACTGGAGATGGATTTCATGTGAGCAATTTTGGAGATGAATTTGGAAGGTAGGGATAGGCGTGAGAGATTGGGAGAGAGAGGCCGGAGTTGGGTTGGAAGCGAGGCGTGAGAAAGAGTTTGTATGAGATAGATAGAGACGTATGAGAGATAGAAGTATAGAGTCTTAGGATGAGAGGCTTCTTCATGGGCAGGAAAAGGAATTCAGGATTANATTCAACAAAAACTCCGATCTCAAACAGAAAATGTAAGCATAATACATACACACACAAAAATGTGAATATCCAAAGCTTACTTGAAACAGAGGATCTTCTCTGTCTGCTTTTCTCTTATCCTTCTCTCTATATGCCTTTCATTTGCCCCTCTCTCTACTGTAGTCGTCCAAAGCGTTGGCTGGGTTGCTGGTGGAGTGTGTTAGTGAATGATTGAGATTTGAGATTGGGATAAGACTGGAGATGGATTTCATGTGAGAAATTTTGGAGATGAGTTTGGAAGGTAGGGATAGGTGTGAGAGATTGGGAGAGAGAGGCCTGAGTTGGGTTGGAAGCGAGACGTGAGAGAGAAAGGCGTGAGAGAGAGTTTGTATGAGATAGATAGAGACGTATGAGAGATAGAAGTGTAGAGTCTTAGGATGAGAGGCTTCTTCATGGGCAGGAAAAGAAATTCAGGATTTACTGTAAACCGTTAGATAAAATTTTTTGAGATGATTTGAATCGTCTTTTATGTTGGGATTACGTTGTTCATTGGATGTGTCTATGTTTTGTCTCAAAACGACCTAGATCTCTCTTTGTCTTTTGGATTCAAACTTCGTTCTACTTTATTATATAGATATATGAGATAGAATGAAAGTCAAATTAGGATCGTTAAGACAGACAATATTTTCTCATTCTTTCTCTTTTAGTATTATTTGTTTGTATTAACGATCCTAATTGGACTTATTTACTCAAAATNTTGGATTCAAACTTCGTTCTACTTTATTATATAGATATATGAGATAGAATGAAAGTCAAATTAGGATCGTTAAGACAAACAATATTTTCTCATTCTTTCTCTTTTAGTATTATTTGTTTGTATTAACGATCCTAATTGGACTTATTTACTCAAAATATTTATATGATTTTATAGATAAAAAATATTTAAATATTAAAAAAAATTCTCAAATTGTAGATATTTAAAAGCCAAACTAATCACCAATAAAAAAAATAAAAATTAAAAGTCAAGTTAATCACTAATAAAAAATAACAAGTGCTACCAATTGCACCAAAAAAATAAAATACAAAAATACAAAATCAAGCTAATCACTAATAAAAAATAACAAGTGATATTAATTGCACCAAAAAAAATTAAAAAATTATGCACAAAAAAAAATAATATTCTAAACCAACTATCAATTT